TAATTAAACCAACATAAATCAATCATTTTGGTAACTTGGAAGGAAAAACTTAGGGGGGTAAACATCTACCATGTTTTAGGACAATATAATCAGTCTTTTATAATCCAGTCTTAAATTGCATCTCAGTAACTAATGGTGTTAATACCTTTTCAACATGGTCTCAAGAGCTTTTTCTGCCCATTTTTGCTCAAAATGTTGGAGGCTACAAGAGTTTTTAAAAAAGCTTTTGGTTGCAGCTTGGGTGCAAATCCCATTGGATGATTTTGCTTCACAGTGTGGAGACTCATGCCCAGTAAGAGCAAACGGAAGTCCATTAAGCAATCCAGATGTAGAGTGATTATAGACCACATGCTTTGTAGAATACAGTAAGGAACATTTTCTATCTTTCAAACTAGTTACCTGTCTTTGCAGAGTGAACGGTATTTTTCCATTAAGGCATTGTTGCCTGCAAACTGCAAGGTTCACCACATTGCCTTTTTGCATTGAAGAGTGCAGCACTTTATTCATTCTTCCTTTGTCACCACTTATCTTGTGGACGTCTTTTTATCAGACTACCTTAAGACCTCTCCATGTGTAAGGTACTGCAGGTTATCAGACGTAAACAGCAGAGGGGGCCCTGACCCGGGTATCGTCTATTAGCGTTTTCCGTCTTTCCCCTCCACTCAAAATTTTTGAGGAACTCTGTGCGTTTTGATAGAAGCCACCAGGGTCTAAATTTAGTTCAGGGGTAATTAATCTACCTCTCAAAAAGTGCTCAGGGGCAGCACTGTGTAATTTACACACAGACACCAACTGAGTAGAGAGGTGGGCAGACAGGTTGAGGCGCAAAATGGAGATCACGCAAAAGCAAATGTTCCCTGCAAATTGATGTTGTTCAATAATCAGCACCGCTGCAGCCAACGTGATTTGTGACAACTTTTTTAATACAAAAGCTCAGCAGAGACTCAGACTCAAGCTGTGCAAGTGGCTTAATTAACCAAATGAATGTCCTAGACTAGTTTTCTATATGTTAATGGCCTGATTTGCATAATCAGGACTTTAGCCTGTGGTGGAAACCCAGACTAAGTTTCTCAGGTATCATCAGTGGTCTATTTTAAGCTGCAAGATCTCCATTCGCTCAGTCTCATTGCTCTGTCATTGCCATCAGTGTCCTGCACCAGTACCGCGCTTTCACTCTTAACTGCACCATCTCCCCAGAATCCACCTGCAGGCTCTGGCTAAAGGGGTTTAGGATGTTATGTCATCAGCGCTCAAATTTCTGCTTGCAAATTAAATCTGCGAGAAATTGTGAAGTCTGGGCCTGGATGCTAGAAACAGACAGTGTTCCGCTGCTATCATTAACATTTCAAACTATTTAAACATGACTTGTTTGACTGAAATTCTCTAATTCCACATTCAGCACACACGCAGGCTGCAGCATAAAATACAGTTAAAACCGAAATGTGTTGGCTGCAGCATTTCCACTGACAGGAATTAGAAGTCTGAGACATTTAGAGAAGTTCTAATTCAAAAAAATGGCAATATGCCACCAATTTGCCTGACTATCCCATTTTAAGACCCTCAAGCCTAAGGGCACAAATATGAGAGCAAGTGTGTGTACAATGTGGGTGCAAGTGACAGCTGCATCTGTAAGTATGTTTAAATGATTTCTTTGCAGAGTGAGCTGGTTGTAAGACAAGTTTATGTAAGTACTTAAGCCCTTTTTTTGCTTTTATTGTCTCTAAATTGTTGCTTTCATTGAGGAAGGGGTCAAAGTGATGGTCAAGCGAGTTTGCCTTCCAACATCTGTCTTGCTAATTGGAAATATACACACATCAGCTCAGAGGAGTATTTCAGTATCAAGTCCAGCCAGGGTGCTGAAATATAAAAACAAGTGCGTTTTAAAATGTGCCAAAAGCTGACAACTTTCATTGAAATAAAACAACAAGTGCTTTTTCTCACTGCCACCCTCTCCTGACTCGTCACTCCTTCCTCCCTAGAGGTTAAGAGCAGATCCAGAAGTGACAGTGTTTTAAAGGGACCCCCATGGCCTGACTCTTTACACCCGATAGGCTGGCCACTCACACCCGGCAGACACACACAGGCTCCCTCCTCCCCCTCGTACACAAACACACGGCCCTGCTCTCTGCACTAGAATTAGCCGTTGGCTGTACTCCAGTCAGATCCGCTCAATAGTCGTCCCTTCCAAAAACCACCCCTCTGTCTTCTCATTGTGCACTCCAGGCCACACATTGCCAGAGTCACAGTTGTGTCACAGCGATCAATCATCCATTAATGTGAAACAGGCTACACAGATACAGAGAAAACACAGTACAACTGCACTGCAATGTCCCCCAAACTCCTCCCCGACTATCACCTGACTAATGTCCTTTAGAGCGTCCATTCAGTACTCCCGCTCTCTCTCTCTCTTCTTCCCTCTCCATCCATCACTCCCTCATGGTTGCATACAAATATCACACCCATTATCACCTCCCTGTGATTCTGACATTTGATTTGTTTCCCAGCTGGTGACCCTCTCTCTCTCACATTTGCAGAAATACGTACAGTATGGAAGGAATCAACACATCACAACACAGCAGGGTCTCGGTACTGCAAGACTAATGAGCCCAAGGCAGGAAAGACTTAAACAACTGAGCAGTCATAGAAAAAAAATAAAAAAGTGTTGCAAATTCTCAAGACTTAGCTCTTAATTATTTAGCAAAGATTTATTTACCATCAGGTAACATCCACTGTAGACTCTGTTTAAAGTTAACTTAAAATTACTATGAGGACCTTGAGTCTTTGCCAATTTTGACGCCTCCATTGATAAAAGACTCTTTGTTTATATTGTCCTTTACATGCTTGATACCAACTTCCAATCCATCCTACAAACTGTCCACTGATCTCCCCATCTTTTCATCAACCAATTCATCCTCAATTCATCCTTTCATCTTCCATGCACCCACTTATCCATTCATACCTTCAACCATATTTCCTTCCATCATTTCAAGTTATAACCTCTTTTAACCATCCTGCCTTATCCAGGAAACTATCCATTCATTCACCAATCTGCCCATCCACTGGTCCATCTTTCTGCCTCCATCTTTCAACCACTACCCATCCATCCCTCCATCAATATATCCGTTTATCCAGCTTCCCAGTTCTCCTACCTTGAATTGGTCATGTCTGTTTGTCCCCCTTGACTCTTTTCCAGCCCAAGCTTGGTGAAAATCCCGACCAACACCATGATGGCCACCACTCCACAGATAATATACACGATCATGTGGGTCCGATCACGGTCCGGTTCCTCGTGGACCTCTGTGACAGGCGCCGCTGGTCGCCCTGTGTTTGCCCAGACGGGTGTGTCATAGTTGGAGCAAGAAGTCTGGTCCAAACTGTGGATTTTGAACTGACAGCAGAATCGGTAGAAGCAGGAACCGCAACAGAACAAGTAGATGCCTGCGTTACAGTTAAAAGGTGGGTCCCACTGGCCCATGACATCGTAGTAACCCCAACAACGGTTACCGGCAGTTTCAACTGTGTCTGGTGTTGGTGTTGCCAGGGCAGCCTCTGGTACCACAGAGGGCTCTGTCGTCTGGTTGTTGGCGGCAACCTGGGCTAAAGCTTGACCTGAGGGCCTAGAGTTTGGTCCACTGAGAGAGTTCATGCCCAGGAGAATGGCCAATGAGAGGCTTACCAAAAGTTGATGCACGGAGGCGGCCATCTTGGACGTACTCCAATGTCTTATGATGCCTCAGAGCTGATGTGTAATTAACGATAGGCCTCAATAAAAGCTCCTAGGATTAAGAACAACACAGAAACAAGAAGTTATGTATCTCTCATGTCCAGAGCTTGTACAGTTTGATAAATAGAGGTGGTTAAACATCTATTTGTGCCAAAAGAGAGCTACACTCTCTTCCAGGGGCAAAGACCAAGCATGTAAAAGAAATCAAACACCCATCTCAACATGCTCTTAACAAGAGTGGATGAGTCCCTTGTGAGCAAAGGACTGAAATGTGTTAACACATCATGATCTCTGGCAGACAACTGTATAAGTGTAGTTGTGTTTTTACCAGGTAAATTGATTAGAAATGGCACCATGATAATATGCAATATTTATGCGACAGTTTGATGTACTTTACAAGAGTTAGCATAGAGCTTATTTCCAAGTCTAGTGCCTTATTTAATTTTACTTTATCAATGTAAATATAATTCCAAAATTCAGGAAACGTCACCTTTCACAAAGCCATGTGTCGTCAGCAGACAGCAGAGGCGGATGTAGACAAATCCGGTGGCTTGGAGGGAATCCAGTTTAAGAGGGTGTGTTACGTACAAACGAACTCGCCTCTGGCATTTCCAGCAGTATGCTCCTCCCGCTGAGTGAATGAATAATCCGTGAAAAGTTGGAACTCTCTGTTCCAAGACGCCAGCAAAAAAAAAAAAAAAAAGGCAGGTTCCTCTAAAATTTGAAGATAGTCACGGACTCCTACATGAAAGGCTTTTCACTCTGGAGATGGACTCATATTCCTGAGTGGATAACAACTCTTCATGCTCGGCGCTGGAGTCAAATCAGTTCTGATGTCCTGGAAAAACTCAGACCAGAGAGGGGTGTTTTGCTCTGGACTTTTCAGTCTCATCCACTTTTCCCGTGTAGAGCTTAGCTTGCATCTATCATCCTCTTACTCTGAAAGTCATTGTTCAGAAGAAGCTTTTTTATTTTTGTGGTGGGCATCTTTTGGCTGCCACTTTGGGGACCGTAACTCCCTCTTTTGGTTGTCCAATCTTTCAGTCCCTGGAATCAAACAATGAGGTTTTACTCTGTAAAGATTGTACAGGGCAGATCTCCTTCCTGTTCCCAGGACCAACAGGTAACAGCAGTTGCTCAATATTCTTTAAAAACACCACTCCGGGCGCTCCTCAAGCAGAAATCCTCTGATGATTACAGTCCAGGAGCGTCTCCTTTTGCACCTGAGGTGTGTTTTTACTCATGCACACACACATACGCTCACTCACACACACTCACACACACATACACAAATCCCCTTGGTGACAGTGCTCAGTCAGTGTCAGTCTGAAGCTTTTAAGCGACACACACAGAAGGAGTCCAGTGGTTTTCTGCTATCGGCTCCTGTTGCTGCTGCTCTGAATAAATCCCCCCCTCCTCTACATGGGTCTCTGGCAGACCCGGGACACAAGCAAGGTACCTCTGATGGTCCTGCCCTACAAGTGCTAAGAGTAAAGGGGGGAGGAGAAAGGAGGAGAAAGGGAGAGGGGAGGGCTGGTGTTGTGAATCTCTGATCCTGATGTCTTGGCGTTGCTGCACCGAACACTCAAGAGATTCTGGGATGAGTGGAGAGTCCCGAGGAATAGATCGTGGCTGGTTCTCTGTTTTTTTTTCAACAGTTTTTTGCTAACGTCTCTTTGTTTACTCTCTGATTGTATCTCCTTTTATCTTCTCTTTGATGTTCCCGCCTCTTTATCTCTCTCGCAACTTACCTCCCCTTTTTTCCTCTCTCCCTGTACCAGGCTGCTTGTGCGGGCTTTTTTTCCCGTTGCTTACAGGAAATATCAGCGTAGTAGGGTCAGAGAGCCTGTGGACTGCCCTCTGCACTCTCAGTGGCGCGCTGGATTAACTCTCCCTCGGCCCATTCGGACGACAGAGACAAGCAGAGATGTGACAGCCAAACAGCAGTGTGGCAACCAGGGCAGATTACAAAAAAGGAAAAATCCTGTTTTCAAAAGAAGCGCCGTTGGAAATAACAGACTGTCTGCAGCAGACGCTCTTTGGTTTCCTTTAAGTTGCTGCTTCAACAACTCGGTAGCGCGCTTTCCAAATTTCCCATTTGCGTCAATGTATTTTTTTTGTCTTTTTTGCCTCTCCAAGTTAGCAAAAAATGACAAAAATCTTGTTTTTTTTAAAGCAAATGCTGAATATTATCCCCCAATTTTTTTCATGCATAGACTTTGCTGTCAACTGAGTCCTTGTCCGGCTGCAGCTTCTTTGAAAACAGGCATAATTTGATATATATGTATAGGAGTTTTATATATATATCATATGTATGTGTTTTCACTGGTGCTCTGCTTGTGGGATGCTCCAAACAGAAGTGGGAAGAGAAATTGGAAGCAACAAAATGCTTGTTTTGTTTTTATTCCAGCCTTTCCCTCTTTTGTTGTTGTTGCTGCTTCTTCATCAGAGTGTAATCCCGTTATTCCCGTGTTGCTCGATGCGTCTGTTTCCCGTCCGCTGGTGGAGCTCGCCGCCGCTGCTGCTCTCTGGCAGGACTGGATGACAATGTCTCTCTCACACACAAACACACACACTCACTCTCTCTCTCTCTCTCTCTCTCTCTCTCTCTCTCTCTCTTTTTCACTCCTCCTTCCATAACACACTCCTCCCTCTCCCGCTCATCTCTCCCCTCCCTCTCTCTCTCTTTACACTCACACACTCACTTATATCTTTTGTGCAGCTCTTGCCTGCTGACTCTCCCTTTCGCTCCCTCACATTATGTGTCACTGACACTCTTCTTCTTCTAGTTTAGAGCCAATTTTCTTTTTTTTTTCTGGACTCCAACTCTCCTCATGTCTGTTATTTTGTTTTTCCAATATCAATTCATCTCTTCTTGTCCGTCTGACCTTTTCAGTTTCCTTTGGCTGCCTCTCCTGCCCTTTTCCTTCCCTTTTTCCTATTTTTATCCAGCTTTCAGCCCCTTTCCTCTCATCTTTTCATTAATCCTTTTCCTTTTTCTTTCCCCTTTCTTTATTTGAAAATGCCAGCAATTGAGATCAGTGCCGCTGACTGAGCTGCAGGTTGTCCTGTTCATGCTGCTCGTGTGTGCACGTGCGTAGTAATGGCGCTAATTCCTCCACACACCCTCGTCTTTGTGTGAGCGCGTCTGGAGCACATGTGTTGCCGCAATCTATAGAGGCTGATTTAGGGAAAAGCAGGAAAGAGGGAAGTGGGGAAGGAAGAAGCAGGGTGAGATAAACAGCAGGAAGAGAGGGAGGAGAGAGAAGTGTCTGCAAAAGAGAAAGAGGGAGAGCAAAGAGGGAGGGTGATGGAGACGGAAGGAGGGGAATTATCACAGGGAAGGGAGGAGGATTAGGAAGCATGGAGGAGAGGAAGCTGGAATAAGAACTGACACAAGGAAAGAGGAAGTGAGAAATACATAAAAAAGGCAGTATCAGACAGGTAGATGGAAAAAAGAGTAGGTAACATTCAGAGTGGGAAATAAGAGCATGAATGAAGGGGATAGATAAAGAAAATTCCCAAAATTTTGAATTTTGAATAATCCCAGAGAAAATGTTTAAATATGAACTAGATTTAAAATAAGACGAAGAGGCAAAAAAGAAAGCAGTGCCTTTGGGTCTGACCACAATCAGGGCAAACCTCATCTGAAAAACGGAGAAAAAAGGCAGCACGAAAATGCTGCATAATATTTTATTCTGTTTGTAAGCCCCTAACGTTACATTCAACTTAGATATTCATTTTTTAAACTTTCTTTGCATAAAAGCTCGACGAAAGTTTAAAAAATGAATATTTCAGATGGCCGACATTGTATTCGTTTTGAATATTCCTTTTACATAAAAGCTTAAAAGCTTTTCTTTAATGTTTCCCACACTCTCTCTTTTAACATTTCCCTCTCCTTATCCCTCACACACACTTTACGCTCGCCTTTGATGTGTTTTTGAGCCTCTCCGTCTTTTGTTTTTATTTTCACTGCCAGTATCAGCAGCTCATCTTCGCCTGCTCTTCTTATTCAGCTGCACGTGGATTGTACTCTGTCCAACTGTCTTGGCCTAAATTTGCTCAAAATCATTAGCATGGTAAGGAGTCATGTCAAGCACACACACACACACTCTTTCGAATGCCTGAACACTCTTACAGCTTCACGCCACCTCTTTGTGATGGAAAATCCAGATAATCTTCCTCTTTGTTTACAGAGTAGGAAATCTATGTTGAATTTAACAGGACAGGATTTGCAGGACACCGGTTGGCGGTGAAACATAGGAGCGGAAGGTGTTGGCTGAAAACCAAAGCAGAAGGAAAGAGGGATGAAGGATGAAGAGCAGGAGTCCTGGGGGAGAGATGGAGGGCAGAGTGCAGATTGAATGGGAGATGTGTCTTAAATCATTTCTCTCTCTCCGGCAGCCTGGCTGTGGTCTGATAGCACACAGTTCCCTCTCTCTGTTTCTGTCGTCTGTCGTTTCTATTTTTTCCTGCACATCTCATACAGCAGGACACCCAAACACGTGTCTGAAGGAACCTTGAGCTGCTGTTTGCATTGTTTTTTATATCACACAAACACAAAAAAATTGGATTCATACACCAGAAACACTTGTAAAATAAAGATCAAGATGTCTCGGACATACACACACAAACAAAATACACAATAAAAGAAAAATTCACAGTAAAAAATAAGCACTCTACCAAAGAGGATAGACACATATCAGATCTTCACCCTATAATTATTGAGACAAAAAATCTGTCTCCTTGCCCCCTCATTTGTCAACACCCACCTGCTGAATTTTTAGTTTGCGGTACTGAGAAGCTCTACTAGAGAGATAGGGTAACAACATTGAGGATTTCCCACATTAAACACCAAATCAATGGTTTTCTGCGTCCATAATGAGCTCTTTAACCTCTGACCCGTTAACCTGATAACTGCAGACCTGGCTCTGCTCACTTTGTTGTTTTTGGCGGAGTTAAGTGAAATAAAATTTGGTGTCAGCATGAGGTGTTTCATTTTGACATTTTCAAGGCAAGTAGTAAATGATGTATGGTACCACTATTACTCTTTACAATGAACCAGATACTGAAGAGGAACGTGAGTCGAGTCCCTAGTACTCATATTGTGATTCCTTATGGGGCGCTCACACCAAGCACAAGTGAAATCATCTACTCGCTTAATTTGCATGAATCTAGACACGCAAATGCAAAACGCATCAACGGTAATCCCTGCCTATTCAACTGGCAGGAAAGGTTTTTTACAGTTTACCTAGGGTGACCTTCTACTGACCTCCCAAAAAGACGACACTACTATGCGGGGGTGGAGTCACGAAGTTGCAAGAAGTTAATTTTGAGAGTTTTTAGGGATTGAGTGTCTTTTAAGCGTTTCTAACTTGTGACACAAAATCGTGACTCCTCACTCACTTGCCTCCAGGCGAGCTCCTTTTTATTCCAGTTTCAGTAATAGAAAGAAAAGGTATCATAGAATTCGGGGCACCCACACACCGACATGATCAGTTTGTCCTTGATTTTAGATACCAGTGAATAACCATCCGTTTTCATACGTCACCCAGCAACCTTCATGCTGATTAGTTATTGCAACACGAATATCCACTCAAGTTGAGACATTTTCAGCTCTCGCCCAATTTGCGTCATTTGCGTCACCAGAGTAGTAGGAGCGTCTAAATGCATCTTTGCATTGACTTAACATGTTATTCATTCGCGCCAATGATTTTACATGCGCTTGGCGTGTGTGGAGACAGTTAGAGAACCACAGTTCATTGTTCACTGCATAAACCTGGACTGACCATCTGGGACATTTCAGGGGGAAATATACATATTCATTAATAAACAGTTTCTGACTGAGTCTGTCTACATATTTCAATCATTAAGGAACAAAACTGTGCTGTGTAAGTAAGGGCACTTACTTGTGCTGTCAGATCTCTTTGCTGTTATGCTATAAGAATTTTTATTATTTGTGAAATGTTGTTTTACTGATTCTCGTAACTTTTTATTCTTAATTCAGTTTTTTTGCAGCTTTCTTATCCTTTTTTAAAACATATTTTTTCCATGTTTCATGAACATTTGATACATTTTTGACTGTCTACTTCTCAGTGTTTAACTGAAAAATACTTTTATTCTGACGAAAAACATTTAGGAAATATTAGATGTCAGATAGAGGACATTCTCCTTTCCTTCTTTCCTCTAAGGATCCACCTTTTCCTTCCTCTTCAATCCTCTGTCCACTTAGCTGTTGCTTATCCTCTCTTTTGTTCCGCGTCCTTTTCGCCTCTACTTCTCTCTCATCTTTTACATCACCTCTTTCCCTCTCACACTTCATTGGATTTATTGAAAATCTAAGTAGGATAAACCTGTTAAGTTTCCTCAAAGCTAGCCTCATTTTTTTTCCCTCTTCATCTCAGTCACCTGCCTCCTCTGCCACCACTTCAAACCACATCCCGTCTCTACCTTCACTTCATCTGTCTCCATTCCTCACCTCAGCTTTCCTCCCTCATCAAACTGTCTCCCGTGTCTCTCAGATTCCAACGTATGAGACACTCTTTTCTTTTCTATTCCTCCTTGTGTGTCACTTCTTTCCTCACGCTATAGCTGCTCTTCATCCCAGTATATCAGACTGTCACTCATCGTAGATTAGTTCAGGACGGGGGACAAACTTAGAGGGGAAAGATGGTTTTATATGATTGGAGGTTGTATCAGGAGAGGCATTGGAAGGACACAGGAAAAGCCAAGATGAAGGATGAGTTTGATGTTGGGGGAAAAGTTAAACAATTAAATCTGAGCAAACAAATTAGGAAGAACAACGAAGGAAAAACATAAAGGCAAACAAATGACAGAGCGATGAAGTGATCAGGTATTGATGGATGTCTGCGGTTGTTGGAGTGTTTTTCGTCCTTGACTGCAGGAGCCAGACATTGAACACCTGAGATTGATTCACAGCCGCACACACACGTACACACACACACTAAAACACATTCACAATCACTAAATACTTTGCACCTCACTCCTGTACAGAATAACCAACTGAGATATTCTGTTCCTCAGACAGAGTTGTTAATGTTTAAGACTTTATCACTAATCGATTGCTTTATCTCGTGTAGTGTCACCAAGAGTGTCAATCACAGTCACGTCTCTACGACCTTCTGACAGACATTCTGTTGTGTTTGACTTTCCCCTTTGCCCGATTCCTGGCAAAGGGGAAAGCATAACAATACAGTTGGTGCTTCAAGATGGAAATACACCACCTTTTCCACTTAGCCAGTTCAAGTGCTAATCTGGAACCAGTTCTTCTGGCCCAGGAAAAACAAAGAACTGGTACCAGAGAAGCACTCATTCCTTGCTGGGCTGGAGGACAGAACTGCTTATATCAGGAGCTGGAGGCGGGGTTATCGTGTCCAAAATGCTAAGGCTAACAAAGGCCACAGAACGGCTTACTGTCATTGTGTGGAAGAATCAGCACACTTCTGTTAATCACCTGTCTTTTTGAACAAAATCACTGTCCACAGCTTTCCTGTCGAGCAGAACTTTACGTGTTTGGATATGGATGGATGTTTGTGAAGCTGGGAGCA